ATTTCAAATGTGTGCCCTTCTATTCCCATATTTTCTTGGAGCAGGAATTACGCAAGTTAAATATGAACCTGGTATCACCAATTTCCTTTTTGAGAATAGGAGTTTCTAATCTCGAATACAAACACATTCTTAGCTTTCGAAGAAAAACGTACGTTACTTCTATAGACCATTCCAAAATCCCCCAATCAATAATTATAAACTTTGACGATACACCCTACCGTATATACCTCTCCTTGGATCATCAGCTATGCTTCAGCTGCAAACAAGGAGAACATTTAGCAGTCAACTGCCCAAACAAAATCAAAGACCCTCAACACCTGAAGGACACTACGATAGAAAACCCAGCCGTCGATGTACAGAAAGACACAATCAACACCGATAGCAATCCCCAAGAAACTGTTAATGAAAATCGTTCATCAAATAATCCTACTAAGAGAACTATATCTGAGATAACAACTCCACCGGCCCTTGAAGTTAATGAAAATCCAACATTTTTGAAACCTAATACAGATCAGAGGAGGAAAAAAGTCAGGACTGATGACAAAAAACTACCAGTGGAAGACCTTTTACACCCAGCCAAACCAATGTTTGAGGACAAAACAATAAAACACGCGTTAACATATGACGAGATCATCGACTTCTTTGAAAACGTCCACGGCTCGCCTGATCCAAGATTTATCCATTCCTTACGAAAAGCAGGATAAAATCAAAATACAGAACAAAATCAAGAAACAATTAGAACTGAAGTCGATTAGCGACATAGAAGATAGTGATATGTCTCAGGAGACATATTAGTCCGGCACTTTCCTTTCTAAAAAAAAAATCACATCGATACTTCAATGGAACATCAATGGATATCATACCCAATACGAAATGTTGAAAATTATTTTGTCAAAATATACTCCATCCATATTAAGCTTACAAGAAACCCACTTCCGACACGACACTTTTCACAAACTCTTGAACTACAACTGTTTCCATAAAAATAGACCCAATCAACTTATAGCCAGTGGTGGTATAGCTATCTACATAAAAAAGTCAGTAGAGGCAGAACTCATTCCTATTACGACAAATCTAGAAGCAGTAGCGGTGTCGATTACAGAATCAAGAGCAATAAATATCTGCAACATTTACATTCCTCCCGGCCATAAACCTAGTATTAACGAACTCACCGAACTTTTTCATCAGATACCGGTACCTCGAATAGTGACAGAAGATTTTAACTCACATAACCATATTTGGGGTTCCAAAAAACCACCTCAATGGGTCGTAAAATTGAAAATCTTATGAATATAACCAATCTCAATCTCTTCCAAGACGGTAGAAACACTCGCTTCAATAGAGCTAACGGGAAATCATATTCAATTGATTTATCATTTTGCGAACCGGAATTTGCTATGGTTCTGAAATGGAAAGTATTTTCAGAACCATGGTAATGATCATTATCCTATCATTAAAACTAAAGAGAGATCAGAATTCTCTTCTACTCCACCCTCGAAATGAAATCTAAAAAATGCGAACTGGAACTTCTATGAATCCATCATAGATAATAAAGTATCAACTATGAAAGAAAATGGAATATCACATCTTAACATAGACCAGCTTGTTGAGCAATTTTCACAGATGATAATTGAAACAGCAGAAATAAGTATTGGAAAANAGTTGAAACTCACAAACGAATTCGCAATGAGTCGTTTTCGAACAATCCTACAACGACTGCGCCAATTATTTCGAAGGATTTGCTTTGAGACTTTTTAAAAACTTTATTTGTACATTTAAGGCAAATAACTACAATTGAATGACATGAATAAGAAAACAAGGTGTATAAATAAGTTCGCATATGACGCAATGCTGAGTAAGCAGGCTGGATCGGTTAACGACCTGGTCTGGGAACATGCATCTGTAATGTTATACCGGTGTACTATCAGTTCCTGATATAACTCCCTAATGCAAATCTACAGGTCATTAATAAGATCCAAACTAGACTAAGGGGCAATCATATATAACTCGGTAAAGAAGACAGTTCTAAAACAACTGGATACCATTCAGAATAATGCCATAAGAATTGCAATTGAAGCCTTCTGCACTAGTCCGGTAAACAGCATCCGTTGTGAAGCAGGCGAACCATCATTATCTTCTCGGAGACAACTCCTGACTCTTACATATGCAGCTTCTGTCAACTCATATCCAGAAAACCCAGTTCACCACAACGTCGTCGCAAACATATTCAAAAACACTTTTGCTAGAGAGAAAAGAGCTGATCTTCTATTCTATGAGAGATACAACCGCTACCTATCCAGTTTACGTCTTCCACTTCCAAATATTATGAATACTTCAAAGATATCAAACCCTCCTTCCTGGACAATTCCTCAAATACAAACAAACATAAGTCTCATCCAGTACAACAAAAATGAAACCAATCATGAGATAATTAAGACAGAATTTCATCAACTAATAAACCAATATGAGGACTTTTGTCTGATATACACGGACGCATCAAAAACCGAAGAGGGTGTTGGGGCAGCTTTCATAAGTTCTGACTACAGAGCCTCCTTCAAATTACCCAAAGAGAGTACAGTATTCACAGGGGAATTATATGCTATATTGAAAGCATTAAATTTCGCCGAAGTAAGGAATCTAACAAAATGCCTTATTGTGACAGACTCGCTGAATGCACTTGAGGCAATTGAAGAACTATACACCAACCACCCCATCATACTCCTCATGAAAAGAGATATAAACTCTCTACTACAAAATGAAGAATCACAAATTCATTTTATTTGGATTCCATCCCATATAGGAATAGCAGGTAATGAGATGGCGGACAAACTAGCAAAGAAAGCTATTACCAACCCGATTACAGCAACAGAACTTCAACCCTTTTACAAACATATCCTCACCAGCTGTTGGCAATCCCAATGGAATGAATCATCTTCAAAATTATCCAGCATCAAGGCATCAGTTCTACCATGGAAGCACACACCTAATAACAGTCGAAAACAAGTAATCCTCTCACGACTTCGACTGAGTCATACACGCGCTACTCATGGATATCTTCTGACTGGTGAACAGCAACCTAAATGTACAGTGTGTATGTAATTCACTTTTAAGTGTTGAACATATGCGTTGAACCCAATGCGTTCTATATCATAATGATAGACTCAATTTCAATATTACCCGTTCACTCAAAGACATATTAGGAGAATATTGTAATACTGACAATCTCTTAGCTTTTCTCAAACACATCAATATGTTACACGAAATATAGCACCAGCATAATCTGTATCACTGAACCTACGCTAATAACCCTACGTGGTTGAAGCGTCTTTTTTAATAAAAAAAAAGTTTTGATATTTAGTCACTATCACATTTGAATATTTGATTCCATTGGTTCAATTTGATTAGGACATTGAGAATGATAGAAATTGTGATGGTGATGCATGACTATGCCCTGACAAGATTCAAGAAAAATGACACCTTAGATATTAATTTCACGCAGTTTTATCGCTGTTTGTAAAAAGCGTTTTACCAACGTTTTGGAGGTATTGCCCCCCACTTATATTTATTTCATTCTTTTATCATCTTTATAACTTCAGCTATCAAATATCCAGTAATTAGGACACAGGTCTTCCGGAAATAATGCATGCATCGCTGTTATTTCCATGTTAAGCCTATTCATTTACAGATATATAGAAATTAACGTGTATGATATACAGAGTGACCCATTTGACAGCGGGCCACCTCTCTAAAACTGTTATTTATTATCCGATTCAGAAGTTTTTTTTTTCAATAGATAGAGCGTCAATAGTTCTATTAGAGTGCTGTGAAGTCGAAATATAAATAAAATTTTCAAGGCCTACTTCGAATTTTTTTCAAGGTCAAAAATCCAAAAAACATACTAGCGATTTTTTTATATGAAATTTGACGACGCCACTGGATTTGTGATGCTTTCAAATGGTTGTGACTGAAATTTCAAGATNTTACTTGAACTATGAAGCATCCTGCAAATCATGCGCAAATACCTGTTGCAAGAGATAGAAAGCAATAGCCTTTTCTATATCATCAAATAAAAGTGAAGCTTGTTCTTGACAACGTAGAGTTCCTGGCAGAATCTCGCCATTTCCTCGGAAGTCGAAACTTGTGCGAGCTAAAGACTAACGAGGTTTTAACTTTTTTAACGTGTTATTCTTAACATGGGTTGGACGATAGCGAGTGGAAATCGAGCGTTCTGTCTGCGGCTTGGACCATTGACTCACACATCGGCCAATTGACTCAGTGAAGGGAGCACCTCTACGTCGAACCGCCCGGCTACCGACCGACTTTAAAAGTTTTGTAATAAGTGGAGTAGTGAAATAAATTTCTATTTTCGTTATAATAAGTGTAATACACTCAAGAACCCACAAGAAAACTGTATCAATAAATATTGGAATTTAACCCTGAAGAGGAATTCAAGAGTATTTTCAGATCTGAAGTGGGAATCAGCTAACATTCAGAAGGGGACTACTATTTACAAGCGTATATACAGGGGATCGACAAACCAGGCGTAATTTGGATCCCTCGTGAACTCGAGTAAATACAGTAGTTCGAGGAAGTAGGGTTTGTAACAATATGACATTGTGGCGAGGTGCTAATTAAGACTGCTTAATTAATATTCCATACCTCAACTCGGAGCAAGTGGCGAGATTAAACTGAAAGCGAGTCAGCACGGTTCATGCGATGTAACATAATTACATATTCTTCGGTAAACAAATAACCCCGCAGACGAAAAAAAATACAAAATGATAGAACCTACACTGAGAGAGGCAGATGAGTTTTCATTTCGTTCCATCCAATCATAGTTATGGTTTGTATAGAATGTGCATTCGTCTCTAAACAAATATTTTTTATGTAGTTTCTATTTGCAATCAAAGGCTAGGATATTAGCTCATAAAACAGCATTCTCTTGTCAAAGGCTTATTTATTTCATGTACTTTTTCTACGGATGCTATACGATGGGCCACTTCTCTCATCGCTTTCATACGTTAAAAACGAAAGATTTCTCACGCAGTGAGAAATATCCGCCATTACAGTGAGAAATAATTTCTCAATTTTATCACGATAACCCAAGTCAGTCATGAATTGTTACATGTCAGATTGATATGACACCTTCTCCATGTTGACAACGCTACGCCGACGATTCGCGTGCAATATCCAAATAGCCCATTGTCAGCGTTTCCATAATAACAAAACCGAAGCACTGCAAAATTATTGCTGTCAACTTACCCAACAAAAATATTTTTATTGTTGATTGTTATAGTATAAACCAGGGGTCTCCAAACTTTGACTAGGATAGTCGCAAAGTGCGTGACCTAAGCAAACTTACGTTTTTTTTGCATTTCAATTATTATTGTGTATTGTGACTCTTAACGACATCTAGTGGCGAGTAGTGGTACTAAGTACTATCTTTTTCAGCTACCCGCTAGGTGGCATTAGGCGTAATTAGATATTTGGAATTACCGCGTTGGTTCGAGAAAGTTCTGGTTCTAGCTAGTGTATTCCGATCACCTCGAGATGGCAGTAATAATTGCATATAAAAAGGCTAGCGGCGCAACTGCGAGTTAGTCTGCGTAGGAAAGGCGAAGGAAGCGAAACTGTCTATTGTGAAATAAAGTAACACCCGTCAATAANAAAACCTCTAATTTTAATAGGTGTAATTCACAATTGTGTGTGAAATATGATGAATTTGGAAACACCTTACTGTCTCTTATGTTCCAGGTGAAAATTTTGATACAGTTTGTATGCACAAATAATATTTCTTTGTGGAAATTTGAAAAAAGGGGGTTTTACTTGAAAAAAATTACACACTTGTAATTTGATACAGAAATATAGAATCTGACAATCGCATTCTGGGTTACAAACAATGGTTTTATGAAGCATAATATTTTTTTCAGAAATCAGTAGTGGAGTTTTTTTCATATGGTGCAGACTTTTTGGAAAGCAGTGTATATTCTTGTAAATCATTTGATTTAGGATTTCATTGTTGAAATTTATCGTGCCTTGATATGAGACCGCAGAGCCTGCAATGCGGCTAGATGCATTAACTGTATGGCGCATATACTTTTCGATTTGAAAATGTTTCGATTCGAATAAAAAATGTGTTATTATACCAATAAGTTTTGTTTGAAATATTGCGATTTCTGAAAATCAAATATATTTTCGCGAGGTTATATGAATCACTGAAGTGTAGTATTTCGTTTATCATTTCGGTCTCTTGTACGATTGGTGGCTATTCGTTTTGTTTACAGTGAGTTGAGAAAATTAAATTGACCAAAAAATGAAAATTTCACAACGAGCTGAATCCAACAGAAGTTGTTCGTGAAAGAAGTACAGCGAAGCAAATGGTCGCCTGTTTCTTCGGGTCATGTGGCCACTGTTCCTTTGAGCAACGTTTGAGCAACGTCAATCGAATTGATGACCCATCCTCCGTACAGGCCTGATTTGACACCCAATGATTTCTTCTTGTTCCCAAATATCAAAGGTACACTCCGTGGTCGATACGAGCCTCGAAGAAACAGTTGAAGCGTTCAAAAATCATGTTTTGGAGAAGTCGCAAGATGAATGGAAAAACTACTTTGACAAATGGTTTGAAAGAATGCAGAAGTGTATTGAGGAATATTTCTAAAAACAATAAAGCAATAAAGCTATTACCGGAATATACATTGTTTTGGTGAGTTTCATTCGAGGTTTCTCAGTAGAATTAGGGTCTAGTCACTGTCATACTCTTATCGAATTGATCCTGTGAATAACTGTAAATGCATTTAAACAAAGTTTTGATAGGAGTCCGGTTCTAACTGAGTGAACAACAGGTGTACTTATCAGAATCGTTTAAAACTATTAGTTTATTAGTGAAATAAACCATTCGAAAATTTTACGGATTTCACACGTCTTCACAAAATTGAAAACCACTTGGAGACCCGTAAGTCCATTGTTTTTTCTTAAGTGAATTCATCTACAATACAAGAACATAGTAAATTGCTGTCAATCCAAGGACGAATACTATCTGTTATCATCGCCCCAGGAAGCAGCGTGCAGGTCCGTACTAGACCTCGATGAAACCTGCTTTCAATTATGGATGAAAATTCATCGGCGGGTACTTCTGAGCAAAGGAGTACCAATAACGCTACAAGATTGTTTTCCACTGTTTTAAACCAACCAAACATGCCGAAGTTCCCCACTACAAAACAAGCAATTCTATTTAATGCCCTAGATAACTTGAAGTTAGAAGACTATCTCCTTGCTTCAGGAGAAAAAGTGAACCCGAAGGATATCCTTTTTTCCTCAAGAATCTCAAAACAACAGAGTATGCATATATCTGTCCAGCGAAGAAAAAGTTGAAGAATTCATGAACAACGCTAACGGAAAAATTGTTATCAACCAAGAAATCCATACAGCTCGAAGACTAATCACCCCCAAAGAAAATCTATTAATTTCAAATGTGTGCCCTTCTATTTCCAATAGTTTCTTGGAGCAGGAATAACGCAAATTAAATCTGAACCTGGTGTCACCAATTTTTTTTTTTTTTTGAGAATAGAAGTTTCTAATTCCGAATACAAACACATTCATAGCTTTCGAAGACAAACGTACGTTACTTCTATAGACCATCCAAAATCCCCCAATCAATAATTATAAACTTTGACGATACACCCCTACCGTATATACCTCTCCTTGGATCATCAGCTATGCTTCAGCATTGTTTTCTGATAGGCGTCAGTCCATTAAACCTACTGTGTAGGTATATAGAGACTGGCTTGAACGTTTGAAGTTCCATTTGCTTTAGATTTCTCTTATTGGTTGTGAAAACTGTTTTTCTTGAAAAACAACCATAGCCGTTGCATGTGTTGTACGTTTTCCATCGAGAGTTTCTTCGTTCAAGTCAAAATTATCAATACTTGCTCGAATGTAATTATTCTTCTCATTCGAAACTTGTCCTAGACATTTGGGTACATATACATTTCCCCTGTCATCAATTTCTTGTTTGGCTAACGAAGTTGTTACTTGACGGACTTCGTTATATGAACAAGTAAGTCCAAGTGAGGAAAGCGTATCTAAAATGTGTTTGCTTGGAATGTGGTGATACAGATGCAAACCCAGACCGACATGAAACGAATTTCTTCTATGAGACTTGTCGAAAAGCCCCAATATAATATTGCTTGGAATCGCTGCTAATTGACTTGTTTTCCCATATTCAGCCTGTAAAAACATGAACATCAAAATACTTGAATCGAAAGAACTTCAACTACAATATTTACCTCTTCAAATAACTTTGCATCAATATGCCATGACACGAATAGATGTAAAATATTTGGAACCTCATTCTGAAACTCATTCCTATTGATATTATCTGTTGTTGGAAATCCACTCTTTGGTTCAAACGAATCCATTGCATTTCGTATAATGGCGGCAGTTCTTAATAAAATTTGAGTTTCAGACATTTCTTTGGGGAGTGTAATATTCGCCTGAACATCACTATTACATGTTGAAGAGTAAGCTGATTCTTCGGGTGAGTTTGCAGATATATTAGAAGCCGCCTCCTTATTTTTGTGAGAATTTATGTTTCTTTTGGATATGTAGTGACTATAACATTTTTCTCACTTGTTGTACAATATACTAATCTTCCGTTCATAGTGGTAAAAGTCATGTCTTTTGAGCTATTTCTTGACGGTGGTAGCTGATATATCATTCTCACGAGTAACTGTTGTCGTGGACTGCAGAATAAGAAATAAAAATGCGCTTTTTTATCAAATACTTTGGTTCAATTTTATTCTAAATACGATGTATTCCCCTGAACAATTTTTTTCTCTTATACATTACAAACTTGATTTAACCTGTGATAACTTTGGAGCTGTTTCAATCCTATTTTGGCGGTAAAGTTATTTTCGAATCATCATGTTTTCCAATCTCCAATTCACACACTAATAACTCCGCAACAAGTTATCCACATTTAAAACAATAAAGGCTGTTTCATGGAGAAATATCTTTCAAGCGAAGGGCCACAGGACCCTCCTTTCTTCAAATTGAAAGGGGTTTATTTTTAGTAAATTAGTAGATTCATTTTTTGGTAAAAAAAATTTGACTTTCTTCTCATCCCACTTTTTTTGGTTGAAGATGGAGTAGTCCAAACATTTTGTTCCCAAAAACCTTCCTTTCTATTGAAAAAAGTTGATAGCCCCTCTCTCACACGACTGACTTTTTCATCAAAAGTGTTGAAAATGTGTGCATACAAATTTTGTCTGACCTTGATATCATGGCCAGTTCAAAAGTTGAGAAAGAGGGGGGGCTATTTACGTCCGCGATAGGACGAACATTTTTCGGACACCTTTAATATGATGTTTGTGAGATTTAAAATGAAATTCCAGATTAACGCCTTTTATTTGGTGAGTTTCTGATTGAAAATAATGTCATGCAATTTCATTAACTCGAGTGATGGGATTGTTATCAAGTTCATCAGAGAACTGTAATACACTTTTCCCCTCAGAAAAAGACAATAATACACTTTTCTTTTCAGAAAAAGACAATATGTAATATTTAGTAATGATAAGATCAGGTTCAGTTCTTCCTGTAGCTTGAGGCAGTCTTCACAATCCTAAATAACTTTGTATATTTCCCAAATAAGAGTCTTGACGCAATCCATTTTGAATATATAAATGAGGGGAATCAGTGAAGGATAAAACAATTTTTCAGTAGAAAACCCATCATATGGTCCGGGCCAATCCTGAGCTTCTATAATGCGTGTTTCATTCATTTGATTATTCATTGTTTAAGAATCATTTGAGAAGTCGAGGGTATTAGTTAGTTCCAAGTTATCAGCTGAATTATATGTATTAGATTTTTCATATTGTGTTTGTGGAGCACGACCTCGTAACATATTATCACTGACAGTGTCACCAGGTTATCTTCATCAAAACATAGTAGGCGGTTGACGAGAGTTCTGTGGAGTATGGTGGGTGAGGCAGAACTTCGATACTCAATTCATTCAATTTTGAGACGGTGATTTGTGAAATATGCGGACGGGCGTTGTCGTGGAGCAGGATCAGACCTCTGCTACCGGCTGCTACCGACGCAATTTTCGGTACATTTCGTCGATTTCCCCACAATAGGACTCTGCTGTGAGGATTTGGCACAGTTGCAGAAAGTTATAGTGAACCACACCAGCCGCTGACCACCATTCAGTAACCATGGTGTTTCTTGGTGGGGTTTCGCCTTTGGGAAATGTATGGGTGGCTCATCGGAGTCCAACCACTGTTCTGAACGTCATTGTCACCTGTTGTCGTATGGGATTCACTTTCACCACACGTGACGATCTGATCTAAAAAAGGATCATTTTGGAGGCGCAGAAGCAAAGAAGAGCATACTTCGAAATGTGACCATTTAGGTCGATCGATCAAATCGTGGGGTACCCACTTTACTACCTTTCCAATACGTTTTGAGCCATCAACAACCTCATGGAAGCTTTCGCCCAGTTCTTCCACCATCCGACGCACCGTTTGTGATGGGGCACTCTGGCTATCACGCTGGTGATGGGTCTCCAAATACTCGTCCTGCATTACTGTAGCCACTTCGGGGCTCACATTCACAAAACAACTTCAAACTCTTGAGTTCATGAACACTATCATTGCCAAACGCTTGGTTAATTTTTCGGGTTGCTTAGGCAGCGCTTTGGTTCAATTTAAATTCGTGGAGAAGAACTGACAAAGAATCGCTTAACGACATCATATAGAAATAAGCTGAAGGAAGCCAAAAAAGGAAAAAAATGAAAAGCATCGATATATAGAGTACAAAATTTTCCATGGATCAGTATATGGCACGACACAGTAGAATGAATATGTATCAAGATATCGAGCTACAGAAACACATTACATTATGAAGATACAAAATTTTGAAACATCCCTTATTATACATACTCGTACATGATATTTTCCACGAAGTAAAAAAAAAGTTAACTTTCATTTTTCTCAAAAATATTCATTTATTCATCTGTTTCTATTCTGTTCCTTTCGAAGTAGTCCCACTCACTTGTGCCAGCGTTTTTTTTCAGTCCCGATATGCGCTTTTTGGTATGTCCTTGAGCTCTCTCCTCAATGGTGGCAAAACGCCATCCTTTCATGGATCTCTTCAATCTTGGGAACATGAAAAAGTCACATGGGGGCAAATCTGATGAATACGGTGACTGTGGTATGATTACGAACAAGCAACGACGAGTGAGCAGGTACATCATTATGATGCAAAAGCCATTAATTGTTATTACACAATAACGAACGTTTTCTTCGTATTGCTTTCCACAAACGGAGCATAACTTCAAGATAATACTCCTTATTGACTATACGACTCTGTGGCAAGAACTCCACTACGCCACGGTAATCGAAGAAAACAGTGAGTAAAACTTTGACATTTGATGAAAGTTAGCGTGCTTTTTAAGTCTTGGCTTTCCTGACCTCTCCCATCGGGACGAGTGGACTTGTCATAACCATATACCCATAATTCATCACCAGTTATGACTCTTTTAAGTAAATCTGAATCGCCGTTGATGTCAAAAATTTCTGAGCGATGCTCATGCGATGTCGTTTTTGGTCAAAATTTGGCAATTTTGGAACGAACTTCGCTGCCACAGGATTCATGCCCAAAATTTCCGAAATATGTGCATAGCATGAACCAATCGATATGCCGACCACCCCAGTAACTTCTCTAATAGTGATTCGACGATTCTCCCTAACATTTTTTTTCACTTTTTCAACATTTTTATTTGTTGTCTGGGGCGTCCAGGGCGAGCGTTGTCATTCACATCTTCTTGACTTCTGTGAAAAGTGTGTACCACTTGTAAATCTCTGTCTGACGCAGAATACAATCACCGTATGCTAATGTCAAAATTTCGAATGTTTTTGAGCACTCAATTACATTTTTTACACAAAATTTAATGCAGTCTTTGATAAATTTATTTTGGTAGAAGAAAATCGTAAAACACTCCTTTTATGCCTCTCGCCAACAAACTAAACATGTTAAACAGCAGAAACTGTAAATATATATTTGAAACGAGTGTACCAAAATAAAAATTGAAAATATCGCAAATCGAATGTACGTAGTCCGCGAAAATTGAACATTCACCTTCATTTTCAACATACCTCGTACACTGATTTGACAATTATTATACAGGGTGTTTATTAAACATGCGGTAAAAAATGAAGGGACTATTATTTGGACTATTCTAAGGATATTTTGTCCCATGATGATTTTTGATGAGGCGCTTTGTTTCGAAGATACAAGGCCAAAAAGAATTTCGACAATAACAATTTTGGTAATTTTAAAATTATTAACGTAGCCGAAATAAAAGTATAGCGTACTTCACTGGGCCTACCAAGTAATGAAAAATCTAACAATTCCACTAAGTACTGTGTATCTCAAAAACCAGAGCTAATAAAAATTTTTCATTGTTATTTTCGTTTTTATCACCCCAAAATTAGTAGAAATTGCCTAATTTAGTGTAGGAAACATTCAAAAAATATTTTTTGTTGTGTTGTGTTATTAACGTAGCCGAAATAAAAGTATAACGTACTACACTGGGCCTACCAAAATAAAAAATCTAGCAATTCTGTTGTACCTATCAACAACATTTCGATTACTACAAACGGCTGCAGACACTCAATTTGAATAGTATGTCTCGTAAGTGATCCTGGTGTTTTCGAAAGAGTTCGGGAGTCGATGAGGTGATTAGATTCTTGCATCCGAGCGGGGGGTAGTTATTTTCGACAGTTTTTGTAGATTAAGAACCATTAAATATAATGTTAAATGTAAAATTCATCAAAGGACAAAATATCTTTAGAATAGTCCAAGGAATAGTCCTTTGAATTTTTGCCGCATATTTAATAAACACCCTGTAGAACTGAGTCGTCAGTAGATTTTCACTCTCACTGTAAAGCACTGGCTCTATTCCGCAGTCTAATTGTATTATGTTGTAAATAACACTGTGATACATATTGCTGGATATGCTTCTGTTGTGATATAATTATTTAAGTGCGCACAATCACAAATGTCATAACCTCAATTGTTTTTACGTGCACCATTACAGTGGCATGACCAAACAAACTCCATAATATGGTTTCTTCAAATGAGAATGCATTTTTCTATTACCCCTCTTATCGGCTTCGTTAAGAAACTGGGTTTATTTGGCCGAATGAGAATGGGTGTGAGCTACAATAAACCCTTGTGGGTTGCGGTGGAGGGTCGAATATACCCACTCACTTCAGACCTATCTACCTACCCCTCCTTATTGAGTATACAAAGTAGATTGAAACTATTTTTTTCATCTTTTTTGAAAAGAAAGGCAAGCAAACCTCTAATTTTTTTTGTAACCTATCAAAACTGTTGAAAAAATCTAGTCAGTGTGGGAGGTATATAAAGTTTATGACATCTTTCCTTACGAAACATCATCTATGGGATCGAGAGAAAACTCGATCT